TGAAATTCTGCATTGAGTTTTATTATTTATAAATAATAATATTCCTAAGAAAATTTTTACTATTTTTTAACATAATTAAATTTCTGCGAATGATTTTATTACTCTTGAAAACAATTGAATTTCTGCAATAATTTGTAAACTTTTCCAAAATTAAATTATTTTTAGTGTTAACTAAAATTTTTCTATAAATCCATTATTTTTAATGATTTTTGAAATAGATTTTTGAAAATTTTCAAATTCATTTTGTTTTTAACTAAAATTCATTTTTAAATCAATTTTTATTATAAAATTCTAATAGAATTCATTTATTTAAATACAAAAAATAATTTATTGTATATTTGAATGTTTCTTAAAATTGAATTCTCATAAAGAATTTAATTAACAAATTTTTAAATAGGTATAATTGAATTCTTTCGACGACTTTTAATAAAATTTTTAAGAATAATTACATTTTTTAAGAAATTTGATTAAAATTGTATTAAAAATAATATTGAAATTCTGCATTGAGTTTTATTATTTATGAAAATAATTGAATTCTTAAGAAGAATTTTATTATTTAGAAAAATAATTGAATTTCTGTGAAATTTTTATTATTTTATGAAAATTGTAGATATTGAAAATCATTAAATTGACGAAAATTTTTGAAAATAATTGAAATTTTGACAAGACTTTTATTAACATTTTTGAAAATAATTGAATTTCCGAGAAGAATTTTATTATTTAGAAAGATAATTAAAATTTTGACAAGAAATTAAAAAAATTTTTGAACATTATTGAATTTCTGCTTAGAATTGTATTATAATTTTTAAAATAATTGAATTTTGCAATCATTTGTAATTTCTCTAAAATTTTCCAAATTATATCGTACAATTTACGGACTTATTATTCTTGAATCAAATTGAATCAAATTTATGGGAAAATTTAGTAGAATTCATGTAGAAATTCTATAAAATCGTTCTAGTGAAATTCTATAGAATATTCACTAGAATTCATATAGAATGATTTTATTGAAATTCTATAGAACTTTTTCAGCTGGGATATGAAAAATGATGATCAAGAATAGCATAACTTTAACGTGATTAAGAAACGGTGAATTTCAACGGAAGAGAATTTCGTATGCCGGTGATATGGTTGAAAACCAGTTGGTTGGACGAGAGCCTAAATTGAAGTGGAGAATGGAATAGTGAAATTGGTCGTAACTATCTATATGTATATGGAAGAAGTGTAAATGGTTTGAGGCGAGAGGGATAACTGTTTGTCGAAATCAAGCAATCAAACCCTTAAGGACACCCATATACACACGGACACGAACATCATAAAATGTTTACAAGTGTCTGTTGAGGAGATTAGGAATTTGTAGTTTCGCGGTCCTTTAAAAATTAAACTATTTGCACTCTGAGTATTGCACACACAGTATGTATAGATATTACTAAGGCCCTGGCGTTTCCTCGTCTCTTCGACCGAGTTACCCAACAGTTTGTGTCGCTGATGGAATAATGGTCCATTTGGGATGCACGTGCTGTCGCAAAATCCTCATACCCCTTGCCACACTTTCTCTCACCCCCTCACCCCTCTCTCTCTCCCTTGTAAAGCCTTCGCTCGTATTTACATGTAATTTCGGGCAATTAATATTTATGCCGGCTCGTTCCGTACGTGCTCTGAACCTCCAGGTAACTGTTCACGAGAACGAGCGCTTGGGTTTCAGACATTCCTCAAAATTCGAATTTTATCATGGATTTTCATTTTCGTTGTATTTTGCGATTATTATTTCATATTTTAAAGAGAGATTTTTAAATTCGAAAATTAGGGCAAAAGTTATTGATTTATTAGGGTTTTAGGCATTATTTTAAAGAGATAAATATTTGAAAATTATGGCAAAAGGCATTATTTTATTAGGATATTTTGTATTAATTTTCAATTAAATTCTATTTTCACTTACAACAAAGAAATAAAATTCAAATAAATTAAAGTAAAATAAAAAATTTCTCAGTACAAGTGAAAGTCAAAATGAAAATCTGTTATAGTAAAAGAGTAATATTAAAATTAAGGTGAAGGTTGAAATGAAAACCAAAAATTGCCAATAATAATAATAATAATAATCCAATAATTAATACTTATTTTTTTCTTTTAGAGGTTTTCCTTTTTCATTTCACTTTGATAAATATTCATTTTCATCTTGATAAATATTTATTATAGTTCATAATTTTTTAAATAAAAATAAAATTTTTTGAAGCTACCATAAATATGGAAAAGAAGGTAGAAATAAAAATTTTTTAAACTGAAAATAAAAGTGAAAATCAAAAACTGAAGTGTCAGTAGTAGAAAGTGCCTTAAGTCAGACATTGATCCTCAAAACTCTATTAATCAGTAGTAAAAAAACGTTTTTATTTAGTGTTTAATTTAGTGAAAGAAGTATCAAACTAAGTAGGGTAAGGGGCCCCAAGATCTGTAATTCCTAAACGGTATTTATTATATAACATAATTAATAATATATATGCCCTGAAACTGTATCTCCTTAGCTAACTTTTTAGCAAAATTTTTTTTCTATTTTACTAACCCGAGTCGAAATTTAAGCCCTACTTTCACCCTGAATTTTCAGGGTCTATTGAGTGTTAGGAGTAGTAAAGTAGGGTCTAATTTTAATACAATTAGACCCTACTTTGACTCCCAAAACAGGCGGAAATTTGCCAATCTTCCATTTGGAGAAGCAAAGGAGGGTCTACTTCTAAGAAACCTATACCGTACTTTTAAACCTCGTAGACCCTACTTTCATACTCCTAGACCCTACATTCTAAAAGAAAATTTTGAATTATTTTTTAATGCATTACTTTAAACACTGCAAATGCAAAAAGTACTCCAAATTCATAAATACTGATGTGTTTTATAGCGTCTATATACACTTCGTGTATATAGACGCTATAAAACACATAAAATTCCACTTTTACTCATCCCTAGTGCTTCAATTGAATCTGAGCAAATCTTCAAATTTTTCTTTTTCTAATTGTAGGGTCTAGGAGTATGAAAGTAGGGTCTACGAGGTTTTAAAGTACGGTATAGGTTTCTTAGAAGTAGACCCTCCTTTGCTTCTCTAAATGGAAGATTGGCAAATTTCAGCCTGTTTTGGGAGTCAAAGGAGGGTCTAGTTTTTAAAAATTGTATTGAAATCAGACCCTACTTTACGACTGCTAAACCTGAATAAGCCCTACATTTTCAGAGGCTAAGTAGGGTCTAAATTTCGACTCGGGAAGGAAAATAAAACTTTGGCGACTTTGGAAAAACTGCCCGAGTCGAAATTTAAGCCCTACTTTCACCCTGAATTTTCAGGGTCTATTGAGTGTTAGGAGTAGTAAAGTAGGGTCTAATTCTAATACGATTAGACCCTACTTTGACTCCCAAAATAGGCGGAAATTTGCCAATCTTCCATTTGGAGAAGCAAAGGAGGGTCTACTTCTAAGAAACCTATACCGTACTTTTAAACCTCGTAGACCCTACTTTCATACTCCTAGACCCTACATTCTAAAAGAAAATTTTGAATTATTTTTTAATGCATTACTTTAAACACTGCAAATGCAAAAAGTACTCCAAATTCATAAATACTGATGTGTTTTATAGCGTCTATATACACTTCGTGTATATAGACGCTATAAAACACATAAAATTCCACTTTTACTCATCCCTAGTGCTTCAATTGAATCTGAGCAAATCTTCAAATTTTTCTTTTTCTAATTGTAGGGTCTAGGAGTATGAAAGTAGGGTCTACGAGGTTTTAAAGTACGGTATAGGTTTCTTAGAAGTAGACCCTCCTTTGCTTCTCTAAATGGAAGATTGGCAAATTTCAGCCTGTTTTGGGAGTCAAAGGAGGGTCTAGTTTTTAAAAATTGTATTGAAATCAGACCCTACTTTACGACTGCTAAACCTGAATAAGCCCTACATTTTCAGAGGCTAAGTAGGGTCTAAATTTCGACTCGGGAAGGAAAATAAAACTTTGGCGACTTTGGAAAAACTGCCCGAGTCGAAATTTAAGCCCTACTTTCACCCTGAATTTTCAGGGTCTATTGAGTGTTAGGAGTAGTAAAGTAGGGTCTAATTCTAATACGATTAGACCCTACTTTGACTCCCAAAATAGGCGGAAATTTGCCAATCTTCCATTTGGAGAAGCAAAGGAGGGTCTACTTCTAAGAAACCTATACCGTACTTTTAAACCTCGTAGACCCTACTTTCATACTCCTAGACCCTACATTCTAAAAGAAAATTTAGAATTATTTTTTAATGCATTACTTGAAACACTGCAAATGCAAAAAGTACTCCAAATTCATAAATACTGATGTGTTTTATAGCGTCTATATACACTTCGTGTATATAGACGCTATAAAACACATAAAATTCCACTTTTACTCATCCCAAGTGCTTCAATTGAATCTGAGCAAATCTTCAAATTTTTCTTTTTCTAATTGTAGGGTCTAGGAGTATGAAAGTAGGGTCTACGAGGTATAAAAGTACGGTATAGGTTTCTTAGAAGTAGACCCTCCTTTGCTTCTCCAAATGGAAGATTGGCAAATTTCAGCCTATTTTGGGAGTCAAAGGAGGGTCTAGTTTTTAAAAATTGTATTGAAATCAGACCCTACTTTACGACTGCTAAACCTGAATAAGCCCTACATTTTCAGAGGCTAAGTAGGGTCTAAATTTCGACTCGGGATGGTAATTAATGGTAATTAATTTCAATTATTGTTTTAAAACTAATAAATTTAGAAATTTAACTGCTTTAAAATTTAAAAAAAAATGAATATGCACAATTTGAAAAATAAAAATGTTTGGAGTATGTTAAAAATGATAAAAAAAACGAAATTCTCATAAAATAATACAGTAGATTACACTGTAATAATTCGTTTTGACTATAGAATAAGATATTTTAATATTTCTTTGTCACGAAAAATCTAAAAAAAATTATTTCCTCGCTATTATTTTCTTGATAAAGTCTGTAAATTATCAAAAATCTATAAAATCTAGTTCAACCATAAATAGCTGTTCAATTTCACTGGATTGACTTGTAAAAAGAAAACATGAACATGAAACTTAGCCTTTTTGTAATTTTGTTTATACTCTGTATTATGTGTATTATAATGATAATTTCTAATCAATGGGTCTCTGGGGAAAAATTGACAACTGTAGCTAAAGCAGATGTATCAGGTGAATTTATATATTATTATAATTAATTAATTAATTTGTTTATATTATTTAATTTATTTAATTAAGTTGACGTATTTTTCATGTATTTCCGAATGTTAGTAATTATACTCATTACATAATTATTATTTATTACTTTCGACTGATATGAATAATCATAAAGCGACGTAAAACACATCATTTCTGTAATTTTGTTTACTTTCTGGACTATACCTAATTAATATAATGATAATTTTTAACCAAGCGTTTTCTGACAATGATGCGACAACTGTAGCTGAAGAAGATGGAACAGGTGAATTTATTTATTATTTATTAATTTATTTATTTGTATTATTCAATTCAATTGAAAAAGTAAGAATTAACAGGAGAATTTATTTATTGTTTATTAATTAATTAATTCATATTATTGAATTCAATTAATCAAGTTTGACGTATTTTTCATGTATTTCTAAAAATTAATGATTATACTCATTATTTAATTGTTAATTAATAATTTCGACTGATTTAAATAAAGCAAAATGAAACTCATAGTTTCTGTAATTTTGTTTATTTTCTGGACTATAATTAATATAAAGCTAATTTTTTAACACAGAGATTTCTGAATTTGATGTGGAATCTGCAGTTAAAGATGGTGCAAAAGGTGAACAATTTATTGATGACTACTAAATAAACTTTAAAATTTAAATATGAAATCAAGTTCAATTAGTTTGTTACGTCAAAACGAGAAACCTTTTTAAATATTCCTAGCGTTCCTCGTTTTAAGGGGTAACATCACCCAGAGCCTATACAAAATACGGTCTATTTCAATTAATTATTTTAAGAAAACGGTTCAGTACAATGTTGCTAGGTTTTCTGCAACGTTAAACATATGAATTAAACTTAATTTAAAAATAAAAAAAAAATTTTTGTTTTCAAAATGGCGCCTTCACAACAGTTCAACGTAGATCACGTTTTTTAAAACAACCTCTGCGGCCGGAAGCTTTTCTACGTTCCATAAGCTCCTAGGCAAAAAATTCAAACGAATTATAAAAGAGGATGACATTTACTAGAAAAGTACATAAGATATTTTAAAAATATCAATTTTTCGCAAAATGGTATGACTTCGATGACAAAAATGTTATTTTTTGTTAAAAAATCAAGGTAAAAATGGTTATAAAACGGAAACGCATTAACCGATCTAAAAAATCCTATGTACTTCGATAAAGAATGTTGTTTTAAAGCTACAGTCTAAATTTTAATTGAATCCGTCAAAAAATGTTGGAGAAATCCTTCCGGCCAGTTTTTTTACAATTTTTTCACTGTTGGATGTGTAAAGGCGCCATTTTGAAAATTTTTTTTTTTTGTTTTATTTTTAAATTAAGTTTAACCCATGTGTTTAACGTTGGAGAAAACCCAGCAACATTGTACTGGACCGTTTTCTTAAAATAATTAATTGAAATAGACCATATTTTGTATAGGCTCTGAGTGATGTTACCCCTTAAATTAGTTTCATAAATGAATCTAATTTGGGATGAGGATAAGTCAATGAGCCTACTAAATGTGAGAGAATTATTTTTTTTAAAAACCAACAAGAAAGAAAAGAGTTGACAAAATTACAATGAGTACAAAAATTATGAATCTTACTTAAAGAATAATGATTACTGGTGGTGTGATGATAATCTCCTGTCTAATCTCAATGGTGTTGATCGCTAGACGAAAAGGGGCCTTCCGCTTGTTGTCCTTAATGGTTGGGTATTAATCCTCTTGTTTACACTAATGAGATAGTGTATTGTATTTTGAAAATATCTGCTTTCTTCCAGACGGTTGTCGCCTCTTGAGCAAATTTCGTTGCTTCGAAATTTGGAATGTGTTGTTTCAATATTAGATCTTCTTTGATTGTTGAGATTATTTCCAATTTCATAATTTTGGAAATTGTTTAAAATTTATATTTTGCAAATGGGTGTATAATAAAAGGTTGATTTACAGTTCACTTCAAATTTAACACTTGGGGATATATTGTTCACTTTCGAACAATGCACTTTAAAAAGAATACTTGGAGATATACTGTTCACTTTCAAAGATGTACTTTGAATTCACTTGTAAATTATGTGATGTGTTAACGTTGACTGAACTATGTAAACTGGTTGATTCCCAAAAAATTACTCTCTGATCTGAGTAGAACTCATATCCCCTTTTATATAAAACTGTCTTCATCAATTCTTTGGAATCATACACGTGTTGATGCCGCTTGGATTTTAAGGGGGGTTGGAGCGACTAGGCTGCAATGCCGTGATGACTGTCTAAGAGGCTGCTAGGTTGCAATCCAGAGCGATAGTTTAAGGGGGGTTGAGGGGCGACCGTTGTACCTCTCAGTTCAGTTTCCAGGGATTAGACACATGCCTGCTTGTTTTATGCACTCTAATGATTATGGGATTATAGTAATCTGCTTGATGGATTATCGTTTTTCGTACTGTCCTCCAATCACATTAGCATTTTAATAATTTTATTTATTTTATGCACTGCAATTAATATTTATCAGATAACGTTACTGTCCGAAAAGTTGATTTAATTCAAGATAAAACTCCTTAGTCAAAATGTTAACTCCTTTTAGTAATCCAGAAACCTCTTTTAATCCTCTTTTGAGTCTCCTGTTGAGAAGGGAAGTAAAGAGGCTTAAAAGAGGTCCGAAAACTGTTGTTTTTCTAAACAATGTATCATCATATAGAGTAATGATGGAAAATTAATACTATTTTTTAGCGTATAAATTAACACCATTCTCACTCAACAATAGAAACGACAGTCACATGAAAACTTTTTCAACACTGGATGAAGCTCTAGGTAATTTTGTAACTTGTTGTCGATATATATAATTAACATGAAAGTAAAATATATGTAAAAATTAAGAATTTTATATAACACTTGCTATCTTGTTACTGTCATTTTTAAAATCCTTTAAGCTAAAAAAAGACAATGTACTTAAAAGAATATTAAAAGTATTTTTATAACGAAAGATTACAATTATTTCAGAGAATTGCATGGTTATTCTGCTTTTTAATATTGACCAAGCAATCGACGAGTTTGAACTCTACATGTGTACAGGTTACTCAGATTACAATTCGGACTGCCTAACAAGTGCTCACTGTATGTGAAGATCTCATTAATAAATTATAATAAAATAATGAAACGTTGACTAACAATAAAATCTAAATTTTTTGATTCTTAAAAATTTTAGATGCATGTGTTCAGCAAAATGAGCAAGGTCAATTCTCCTGCAGGACAGAACTACCAATAGATTATTACGATATGCCATTCAATAGTTGTTATAACTTCTAACAATTAAAATAACATTATTAAATACTTATTAACACAAAGTATGTTAACAAAGTTTAATAAAATTACAAACCAAATATAAAAATAGAAAAAAAATTTATTGTCTCATGTTAAAAATAGGCATAACTTTTAAATGTGAAATTTAACTGCTTTAAAATTCAAAAGAAAATAAATATGCACAATTTGAAAAAGAAAATGTTTGGAATCAATTCTTCTTTTATTTGTATTTTTTAACTGCGTAAAATATATAATTAATTAATAGTTAATTAATACAAAATTAAAACTCAATTTCCGTTATAAATAGCTATTCATCCGTTGCAGATTCATTTATAGACATTTTAACTTATATTCATTTTTGTATTGCAAAGAACAAACTTGTTGATAATATTTTTTTTTGGTCATTATTTTGCCAAAAAGTAAAATTAAAAATTCAATATGAAATTTAATTTTTCCATAATTCTGTTTATTTCATTCGCTATAATCAACAATTGCCAATTGGTGTCTACCTCAGGTCTGCCGATTGACACAAATCCTAAATTAGAGCGTCAAGGTAATTTTGCTGCGAATTTATACTAAAAAGTAAATTAAATAATAATTTAATCGCAATTATATTCACAAATCTATTAGATTTTTTTAGAAAAAGAAGAAAAAATTTTCCATAATTCCTATTTCTAATTCCAATTTTTTTTAGAAATATAAGAAAACAAATTTTATGAATCACATTTTTATAATAAAATTTTAAGTTTATTTTAAAATAAAAAGAATTAAGCCTTGAGTATGTCTTTGTATATTAAAACTATTTAATATGTTTCATTAAAATTAATAAACTTTTTTTGATTATACTTCATTTTTTGAAAAATTTAAAAAGCCTTAAGTGTCTTAGAAAAATTATTTCTTTACTAAAACTTTAGTGACAATTTTTCTGTGCAATAGAGAAAATTTTCATTAAATTAAATTTGTAAACGAATTTTTTACAAATTTTTATTTAGAGATGACAAAAATTTTATAATATAATTTTTATTTTCTTTATTATATAAAAGCTTTGTATAAGTAGAAAAAGTAAATAAAAAAATAATTATTAATTATAAACAATATTCTAATTAAAATCAAAATAATATTTAGAAATTTGCATTAATAATATTAATATAGTATTAAAAATTTTTCTATACATATTAAATATTTATAATATACAAAGTTTATCAGCTACAAGCATTAAATTTTGCTGATCTATTTTATGGATTTCGAAAACTTGGAGAAATGAAAAGACAATAATTCTTATTTGTTTTATGTTTCACGAATAGATAAAAGTACGTGATTGATTTTTATTGAATCAAATAACAAATGTAGATATTTTTTATAAATTAAAAATAACTTTTTTTTCAAAACTGCAAAAAGATGCATTCTTAAAATTTTTTACGTTTAATTGAGAAACAAGTAGTCAAAATTGTCTATAGTCAGACAAAAAATTCTCCACAATCTATTATTTTGAAAAACTAATTTAAATTTAAATAAATAAATAAACAAACTAGATTAAATTTAAAATCAGTAGCAAAATTAAATTTTAGTAAGGAAACAAATCTAATTAAAAATGTGAAATCAGTAGTGAAAATTGTTTATAGTCAGACAAATTTTTTTTTCAATCTACTATTATAAAATAAGTGGTGTTATGTTAGGTATAAAATTTTTTTTTTTCAAATTTCGTGTTGAATTCGAATATAGAAAATTAGCTTTCATCATTGGAGGGAAATTAAAATCTTAATGCAGGGCTTGATCTAGGTCCGTAAATTCCGTAAAAGTCTGTAACTTTGCTTGAAGTTTGTAAAAGTCCGTTTTTTTGAAAAAAGGTCCGTAAAGTCCGTAATTTGATTAAAAAATGTCCGTAAAGTCCGTAAATTGTATGATATAATTTAGATAATTTTTGAGAAATTTCAAATGATTGTAGAAATCCAATTATTTTTAAAAGTAATAAAATTATTCGCAAAAATTCAATTATGTTAAAAAATTTTTAAAAATTCTTGTTAAAATTTAAATTATCTGTAGAAATAATTAAATTCTTCTCTGAAATTCAATTATTTTCAACAATTTTGATAAAATTCTTGGCAAAATTTCAATTTTCAAAATTCTCCTCAATTCAATGACTTTTAAATTTTAATAGGTATCTACTATTCAAAATCATTCAATATTATTTTCACAAATAATAACATTTTTACATGCATTCAATTATTTTGGTAAATAATAAAATTCTTTTTAGAAATTCAATTATTTTGATAAATAATAAAACTCATTGCCATATTTCAATCATTTTTCATAACAATTTTAATCGAATTCCTCGAAAAAATTCTTAAAAATTTTATTTAAATTCGTCAAAACAAATTAATTATTTAAAAATTTATTGATACAATTCTTTATGAGAATTCGATTTTAAGAAACATGCATTGTTTTTTTTTTGTTTTTAAATAATTGAATTCTATTAGAATTTTTTCATAAAAATTGATTTAAAAACGGACTTCAGTTAAAATTTTAGATTATAATTGAATATTAAAAGTATTAGATCGTAAACTTTTAGAAATAACACAGTCCGACAAGATTTACTTTCCAAGAATTAGACAATACTTTTCCGAAGGTTTTCGACGTGTCGAATCCGAATCCGGTCTCAAAATAGACCCTGCACGTTAAGTTTTCGAGATATTTTAACCTAAAAGTGCAAAAAAGCTGTTTTTAGTTATATTTGATATATGTCATGTAACATCAAGAGATAATTTTTTCTCTAAAAGATCAATATTGCATTTAAAAGTGCTACTCTTCCCCTTAAATATCCATTTTGAAAATTTAAAAAATCCTAATTTGTCTCTGAGTAATCGTTCATTGAATTTTTTGAGTTTGGGGAATTCTTTGAAATCTGAGTAGAAACAGACAAAACTTCGATAATGAAAAAGAATTTAACTACAAACATCTAAATTTTTAATAGTTCTAAAGATTTTTGATATAACTGAATACGAATTCGATATTAGATTCACAAAATTCAAAATGGCGGGTACAATATGGCAGACGATTTTTTAGAAATTGATTAAATTTGCCTAAAATATGCCATTTTGAATTCTATCAATCTGACATCGAATATCTGATTCTTGTAATAATATTATTATTTGAAGTTTTTTTTCTAATATATATTTAATTGAAGAATTTACGAACAATTGAAATTTCGTAAAATTGAATATTGTAAACAAATGGATTTGAAAATTGTCAAAGAACTTTTTCGAAAATTATTAAAAATAATCGATTTTAAGAAGAATTTTAGTTAAAAATTCTTGAAAATAATAGGGTCATTTGGGGTACATGTAAACAAGGGGTAAATGTAAATAGTAGATGTTTCAGCTAAATTTACAAATTTAAAAATAAGTACGACGTCAATATTTTTACCTCAGCTCACCTACAAGATGTTCTGAGTATTGACAATATTTTATTTTGACAATTGGCAATGCCATAGTGTAAGTTATTTTTTAATGCAAAAAAGATTGAAAATCAAAGTTTTACTGTTACAGTATTTTGTCTCGCATTTGCATAAAAATAAATTTTAAAATCAAACAAAAATATGTAATTCTTCCTTATTAATGCCCTAACAAAAATTGACTTTGATTTTTGATATTCGTCAATTTAGTTAATAAATAATTAAGTGTTTACATTTACCCCGATAATTCGAAAACTTGGGGTAAATGTAAACAGAACTTGAACTACATTTTAAAAGAAAATAATTGAATAAATTTGCTTCTATTTCACAATTTCATTAATTTGGCAATGTAAAATTACATAGAAACGGAAATTAGGTCTTCTTTCATACCTCCTTCGTGTTAGTCAGTTTTGTATTGCATAGTTTATGTTTGACCGCCATATTGGATCCACCATTTTGAAATTTAAAAATTCGATTTTTGATTCTTATTCAGCAACCTTAAAAACTTCTTTTTACCAAGTTGAATGAAAATCTATTAAAATTTGTTCAAGTTCTTCAAGTTTTTACATTACTAGTTTTGTAATGGTTGATTGTTTATTTTATATGATACATTATCAGTCAACAACTGGTTGATTTACTATACATCTACGAAGAATTTTTTTTTCAGTTTTTCCATTCCTTAAAGCAGTAGTATACTTGAAATAACTTGTTTCTTAAACCTCGCTTAACTACAGTTGTGTTTACATTTACCCCGAATTTTAGGAAAATTTCAAAATCTCGGGGTAAATGTAAACAGTCAGTTTTAGGCGATTCAGGTGCATCAATATTTCTTTGTACCTCATAAATTTTTTCTAGGGAACACTAGCAACAAGTTCATGCAAAAGAAATCCGTCCGTTTTACCTTTTAACAAAAAAAACTAATGTTTTTGGTGAAACATAGATATTCCGTTTACATTTACCCCAAATGACCCTAATTAAATTGATAACTATTTTTTCGGTGGTAATAGAACAGTGTAATCGCCTATTGTGACTCGATTGAAAACTTCAGTAGCAAACAAGATTCGCAAATTCATGTTTTTATGCTTGACGTAGTTCATTCACTATCTAATAATTCTATATTAATTTTTAAATTCAGTAGTACAACATGAGTATAGTCAGTCTAATTTTAAATACTAATTTTAAATTAAAAGTTCAATTGAATAATCAGTAGTCACAGTCTACATTCATATTCGAATCTTGTGAAAACTGTCTGTTTCCCCTCCAATTTGACTATTGGCGGGAAATTGATGAAATATTTCCAAAAGATCAAAGTTTGATTAAGAATCGGTCACTTTTTCGCTTGGCGAAATGGTACCCATATAGAGTTGTGGAGTTGGTTATAAAGGGACTGAATAGAGGCGAGGTTGGTCGTGCACTAGGGCTTGTGGAACTGAAGGATGGTTGTGTGGAGGGAGAGGGTGGCTTCGTTTCACGAGTCATTTGCTCGACGAGCGTTTCGTTCTCGTGTGGGAAGGGGGAGTAGAGGGGAGGGATATGGTGGAATTGTAGCTTGGCTGGATGCTCGTTCGCCTCGCATCGCATTCGGCCCGTAGAAATTCGCATAATGCCACTGCCGGACCGTTTAGGTAAATGGACCTGTTTACCCCACAGAGCGGACAGCAGAAGCCATTCCAAAGTCAGTACAGAGGGAAGAGTAGAGGCATCAAGCGAGTGAGTAAGTGAGTGAATGGAGGGAAAAAGGCAAAATA